ATGCCGGATTTTTTTTTTTTGACAAATGAAAAAAATATATATAATTTTTTTCACATTTCCCATTCATTTCAATGTGGGGTCATATTGACTCCAAGGGACAGATTTGTAAAATAATAATAATACATACCTTCAGAACAACCGAATCAAGCCCAGTTTTTTTATGTGAATATAGATATAAAATGTTGAAAATTCACAAAATCTTATTCCACTGAGATGAAGGGAACCATTTTTTTAAACTAAGTAAAAGTTGATTGGGGTCATATTGAGGGTCAATCTATTCTTTTTTTTCTTTTTCTTGATAGGGCAAAGCAGAAATATTGGTTGACTGGGAGCCCTGTCCAATATGGTATGTATTCTTCTGTTTTTCTGCTTTATCAATTAATGTAAGCATTATTAATTTACTTCATCTTTGTTGATCTTTTTTATTTGTTTGTTTTTGCTACAATAATTTCTTATTAATCTGTTTTGTTTTGTTTCGCAAATGGTGGCGGTCCTTCATAGATGGAAAATAAAACTGTTATGCTTAATGATGTGTGCTTCAAACTTGTTAAAATGTTTGTTTATTGGAAACACCCAGTAAAAAAAAAAATTATAAATAAAAAATTCCCTTGTGTTTTTAGTGGCAAGGAGTGGGCCCATTCCTGGCAGCCAAATGATTCTCTTCAAATTAATGAGAAGAAATAAAATGTAGAATCTGAACTACATTTTGGTTTCTGCCGGTTTATTAAATTGTTTTTGCACTACTTTTGAAGTCACGTCTCATCTTTCTGTAGTGGTGAAAAGGTGAAAATCCTCAATAAATGTGACACATAGAGTTTAGTCTCAAGTAGGATTAAATAGAAATTTACTTAATCCAACTCAATTTCATTTTCAGATGTTATTCGATAACATGTTTTATATTTCATGATTATACAATGCACTATATTTTATTTTATTACAGTTGACATAACTTGATTTCATGTTCTGTTGTCTGTACTTTTCAAGTTAACTTAACCTCACAGACCACTCTTAAGACATGCAAAAAACGTTTAAAGCTGTTCCTCCCTCTGCTGCTGACAGTTGTCATTTCAAGCATATCGATGTGACAAAAATCTTCAGATCTTCCTGAAGTCCTCCGTATTCACCTCTAGTTCTTATCACATTCCGCTCGCAGGAGTCCTTACACTGTGCTCATCAGGAGCTGAGCTCCACATTCATCCATATCTCAGCATTGCTTTTCACTCCTTCACCACTGCCAGTGTCTAGACAGTGTCATTTCTCTACTACTTTTCAAATAATGACGTCTCCATGTGTTCTAATTGCCAAAGACTAAATAGTTTCAATCTATGCACCTTGTCAGATTAGTTTGATCGCTCTTTAAGCCTGCAATCAATAATTAAGCAATGAATAAGCATTTGGTGTTTGTTCACTTGTATTTCTTAGAAAGACCACAAATACACTATGATAAACACTTGCAAAAGAGAATCACTTTTCCTTACATATTAACTGAAAAAAAAATATATACAAAAAAATTACAGTGACAAAGTTGAGAAAAATAAGCGAAAGATACAATCTACACTGAGCATATTTATGTGAAGAATTTGTTTAACTTTACATCACATTGATTTACTAGTTGTTTTAAGTGGATTATTTTGAAATGACAATTTGGGCATATCAATTAATTATAGAGATACTTATCTGGATAACCATGGTTATAGCTACTAGATTTTTTTATTTGGTCTGAACAACAATGCCAATTCATTTTCTATCAGCAGGGTTCCCTGGTAACGGCAGTACACAAAGCAGCACAGCATCTGACTTTAAAACATGCAGGGCTCATTTATTCAATGAAATCACAGCCTTTTGAAGTTAAATAGTCACATGGAGGTGGATGTGATGAGAGTCGAGACAGAGGAGACTGTGGACTCGCCACCACAGTCTCTCGCGTATGAGGTGTGATTCGTGATTATGGGGTGTGTTTCGTGCATTTGCCAAAATAAAATATCATTTGGCCAGCCTAGGAGCAGGACGCTCGTCCTAAAAATAATTAGATGAGCATGTTCTGAATCCAGATCACAGCCTTCACGACGGGGGCCTTCCGTTTTCCCCGATCTCCATGCTGAGGTGTCAAGATCGTGGGAGAAACCGTACTCATCCCGTATTACAGCCCCACAGTCTCGAATTATTCAAAAGAACATCGTGGGGCTGAATGATAAGGTATATGTGGTGATGCCAGTGGTGGAGCAGACACTTGCGAGCTATCTCTCCCCATCCTCAGCATCGTCCCTGAAGGCCCC